TCCTTGCACCTTTATGTTATATTTAAGTGTATAATACCCTGTTCTGAAAGAGGGTTACAACAGTCTGTTTCTGTCTGTCTGTTAGTCATCTTACTCATAGTTTTGTATCCTTTTGTCTTTTTGTTTAAGGCATAAGTATTTATGAGTATTTTCTGTAATGGAGGTCTTGTGGTGGTAAATTCCTTCAGCTTCTGTATGTCTGGAAAAGTCTTTATTTATCCTTCATATCTAAATGATATATTATTCTTGGCTTGTAATTTCTCTCTTTCAATAGTTTGAATATTTGATTCCACTATCTCCTAGCTTGTAGAGTTTCTGCTGAAAAATTTGATGATGATCTAATGGGATATTTTTAATATGTTACTGTCTTCTGTTCCCAGATTGCTTTGAGAATTCTTTTTCTGTCATTAATTTTTGACAGTTTTAATATAATGTGCCTTGGAGGAAGTCTTTTAGGATTGAGATAATTGGGTAATCTGTTTGCTTCTTGGATTTGAGGATCCAGTTCTTTCCATAGGTTTAGGAAGTTTCCATCAACGATTTCTTTCAATAGGCTCTCTTTTTCCTTCACCCTCTCTTTTCATTCTAGAATACTCATTATTCTTTTGTAATAATTTTACTTATTAAATTGATTGGGGTGACATTGGTTAACATGAATATATAGGTTTCATGTATGGATTTCTATGTTACAAGATCTGTATATTGCAGTGTGTGCCCACCACCCAAAGTCAAATCTTCTCCTGTCACCTCATATTAGATCTCCCTTCTTCCCCCACCCCCTTCCCTCTGGCAACCACCACTCTGCTGTTTGTGTTCATAAGTTATAGTTTTATATCCCACATATGAGTGAAGTCATATGGTTCTTAGCTTTTTCTGTCTGACTTATTTCACTTAGCATAATGTTCTCAAGGTCCATCCATGTTGTCGCAAATGGCACTATTTCATCCTTCTTATGGTGAGTACTATTCCATTGTGTATATGCACCACATCTTCTTTATCCAGTCCTCTATTGCAGGACACTTTGGTTGTCTCCATGTCTTGGCCACCATGATGCATATGAATGTAGGGGTGCATATATCTTTGTGAGTACATGATTTTGAGTTGTTCGGGTATATAACCAGGAGAGGGTTTGCTGGGTTGTATGGTAGATCTACTCTTAATTTTTTGAGGAATCACCCATTAGGGATGTACCAGTCTACATTACCACCAGCAGTGAATGAGGGTTCCCTTTTTTTCCCCACAACCTCTCTAACACTTGTTATTGCTTGTCTTGTTGATAATGGCCACTCTAGCAGGTGGTATCTCATTGTACTTTTGATTTGCATTGCAAGTCAGATAGTTGTCATAGAGTTATTTCGTGTGTTTTTTTTAAACAACTCTCAAGTCTCTCTCTTTTCCCCTCTGCATTGTTTTTAGATTTCTATCTTCGATATCACTAATTCTTTCCCCCATCTGGTTAGGTTTACTTCCTACGCTTACTAGTTTATTCTTCATTTCTTTTATTTAGTTCTTCATCTCCAGAATTTCTGTTTGGTTCATTGTTAAGTTTTCTGTCTTTTTGGTAAAGTACTCCTTTTGATCATTGCATTTTATTTCTGAATTCATTAAACTATTTGTGTTTTCTTGTAAGTCATTGAGTTTTTTCAGAACTGCACTCTTGAATGCTCTATCATGTTAATTACATATTTCCATGTCTTTAAGTTTATTTTCTGGAGATTTTAAACACTTTTTCTTTCTGAGCTGCCTCATTGCCTTGCTTAATCATGGAATTTGATGGATTATTTCTCTGCTAGGCATATATGAAAATGAAATCTCTCTCTTTTTTAATTTAAAGAGTGGCATCTCTATTTAGTAGGTTGATAGGAAGTTTTTCTTTTGTTTTCCAGTAGGTGGCTCTGAAGTGCAAGTTTCTTAGTTTCTCTTGCACTGCTCTAGCTCTTGGATCCTTGCAGAGAGTGAAAAATACCTTGTATTCCCTGGGGAGGTGGGTGTCTCCTCTGTGATCAGGTCACTGTGGTCTCAGGGCACCACTCCTGTGGGGGAATGTTGTGGGCAATGGGTTTCTGAGCCTGTGAAATCCCAGCACTGTCCCCTGCAACCACTCTTCCAGCAGTGCAGCCACAATGGGTACAAGTGGGATGAGCTGGGAGAGGCCAGCTGGTTTATTTGTGGCTTTGTTCTCCTCTTAGTAATGGCAATTGCCAGACCTCAGCTTCTTCACCCCTGTCACTCAGATTTACAGTACACACACACACACACACACACACACACACACACACACACAAATATTTCTGCCTCTCCAGTTCTCAGGGCTGCAGATAATGTGCTCTGTAGCCCGACACTGACTTTACCACTTCTTCTGGGGCCTGCTGCTTGCTCTAGGAGGGTTAAGGTAGGGGAGCTGTGGGAAGGTAAGGGGAGGGAGCCAGACTCTCTGGCTTTGTTTTTGTGCCTGGAAATGGCAGCCGCCAGACAACTGCGGCCTTACCTCTGTCTCTGCCCAGGTCACTGGGATCATCCACAGTGCCTACTGCCCACCTCTGCAGGAATGCTCACAGTATTTCTCTGCTCATCTGGGCTGAAGAGAGTGCCAGTGGCCACCTGACTCCTCCCCTCTCCCAAGACCCACAGCAAGCTCCCAGCTACATCTAGGGCACCTGTCTCTGCTCTTCTTCCTTCCCTCCTCCCATGCTCACTCCAACTCACCTACCCTCAGATGTTTTAATGCACAGATCTCTCAGATGTGTTTATGTCTAGAATAGGGAATCCTTTGTTCAATTATAGCTGTTCAAATTGTAAGTATAAGGGGAACCTCTCACACTACCATTTCTCTGATGTCACTCTCCAAGTTTGCTGTTATAGAAATACTATTTCTTTAACACATTAAAAGTCTTGAAAATTCAGTTTACTTATTTTCTGGAAATTTTAGGAATATCTTGTTTATTTAAACACTTACTTTCTGTAAATCAATAAGAATTGAGCTCCATTAATTTAAGAAAATATTAGGAAATTATTACACACAATAGCCTCTCCGAATTCCAGTTATCATCATCATCATTATTATTATTCAGGCTATTGCCACAAGGAGAATGTTCATTAATGAGGAACATCTCAAAGAAAAGGAAAGGACCCAAGAGTTTTATAGAAGCAGGTAAACTAGGGAGTCATCCATGAGTCTTATAGAAGTCATGAGGAAGCATAAAGATGGTTCTTCCTATGGAATATGCAAGGGCAACGTGGTCCTTTGCAGTTAACTATTTCTCAGAACACTAAAGCGGGGGTGAGGGATAGGAGTCTTAACCACTGCTTATTTCTAGTTGCATGATTTTTAGATTTCTAGAAGGCTCATAAAAGTTTAATACTGTAATGAGATGACTCTGCTTTGTCAATTTTGTCTATAGAATTTCTCTGTATTCTTCTTTATATGCCATATTATTTCTGCTAGCCTTTTTTGTTTTGTTTTGTTTTTCTGTGCTTATGACTTATCTCCATAATTTAATTGTAAGTTCTCTGAGGGAAGGAAGTATGTCATGTATTGTTTTCTGTTTCTCCTCCTCTTCATCTCCCTCCTCTTTTTGCCTAACACTTAATATTCCATTCCACCTACCCAAAAGTTATTCATGTTCAGCAGGAAGATAAATTATTTCTTTTTTTTGATGTGCTATTACATTAGACTTATAAGATATAAGTTTTCAGAATTGGAAAATAGCATCCAAGAACTTTCAAAGTCACATACTAGTAGTTAACTCTTACTTACCAAAAATTCACAGATGAACAAATGTTTTTCTCTAATTGGTTTCTTCCTGGTTTCACACATATGGCCAAGCTATTATTTTGGTAGATGACCACTGAGTTCATCTTTATGTGCAAAATCAATGTCTAATGATATTTTTAACAACCTCCTGCTCACCAATATACCTGTCTCATTGATTCAGCCTGTGAACCACAGCATTGTTCAAAATATGAAACATTATACTAGAAGAGATTTCATGAAGTTTATGCATTGTGTAGACGTTGGAAAGATCTTGCAATCTCATAATAATAAAGATTCCATTTTTAATGATGCTCACGCCTAGAATTTCATTTCAAGTAAAATATATGAGAAATTAGGAAAAAAGGGGGCTGGATATTTGAAGCCACTGGAAGCAAAATAAACTGAAGCGTTTAGTACAAGGCCCTGAAAATAAATTATAATAATCTTTTGATAATAAAAAATGTTCTTTTATATCTACTCAAAAAGGCTTAATAGAAGCATAATAAAAGAGTAGATTAATGTTTACAAGAGGGTAAAGTAACACAGTATCACAAATAGCAAAAACATTAAAAGACGCCAGTATTGTAAATGAAGACAATTTTAGTGAAGGACACAAAATAACTTTAGAAGAGGCTGCTTCAGTCTGCATTGTAATAATTACATTTACAGAAAGGTAACCACATTATGCTGCCCAGGAGATTATACACTTATACATTCTACACTTCGCTTTTATGATCAACAAGTGCCAAACCTTACTAAAAAAAACACAAAACTTTAGGTTATGTCATAGGGTCAGTACAGAGAATCCAATCTCCAACATCTTCTACATCTGGCTGAGCAAGATTGTCTTTAAGGCCACCTCTAGATTCTAGCTTTCTTAAAGTCCTGTAAGTGATAATCAGTGTTCATTATGATGACTCCATGGTACTACCATTTTTTAATGATTGTTGAATAATTGGAGAAGGGTTCTGTTTTGTTAAATATAGTTATAACATTCTAATTCTTTGAAAATCTGGGAATCGAAATGTAAAATGTTACCAATCAACCTGAATATTTAGTTTACCAAAACACTTAATTCCTTGATCATTCTGAGGCATTTACTGTACAATCTTTGTAGGTAGATTTTTGTTTTTCTAAAAAGAAGGGGGAATTGTAAGGGAATAGAGCTCAGGGGTTAGATCCTTGGCATTAAAGACTCCCTTGGATTGCTTTTGGCTGTTGGCTATAGCAATTTATTTTCTTGCAGAGATGAAGCATCTGGTTTTTGTTATCTCAATGATGTTGTCCTGGGAATATTACGATTGCGACGAAAATTTGACCGTATTCTCTATGTGGATTTGGATCTGCACCATGGAGATGGTAAGCCCTTCACTTTCAAGGGTGCTTTGCTGCTAGGACAACAGGTTTTTATCAGTAAAGGTGCTTCCAAGCGGCTGGTAAAAGGAGAAATGCCTGTTGCAATTAAAAGTTTCCTAATTGAGAATACGAAAATAGGTGGAGATTCTTCTAACTGGTTCAATTCCTCCTTTGCTGATGAAGCTGCTGCTTTAAAATCCCAGGTTCCTGTAATTTCTCCTCTCCTTTCCTCTCTTCCAGTAGCAAAGCTCTCCAATAGAGAATGATAAGAAGTGAGAATCTTACCTAGTGTTTACTCCAGTACACAGTAACCTCCCTTAGGTCTCTTTCTTATGTTCTTAGTGAAATCTGCAGCTAGAACTGACAGTCTTGATACTTCTCTCAAGGTCAGAATGGGTACATGATGAAATATCATTGTGAATTTTTCACCAATAGAGATACCAACTTACATAACAGTCAAAATCTGTCCCACTGTTTTTGTATTGCTAAAATATTTAGTCCTGTGCAAACAAACCTAAGGCATCTTCTGTAACTTTTAATAGCATCAGAATCATTAACAATTTGCCTTAAGTTCATTAATTTCTTCTTAGAAGACTTCACTGAAAGGATGCATCCAGCCCTCCTCTGAACTTCCCATCTACAATGTGGAGCTTCAGTGAGTTACCCACATTCTGTTTCTTTAACAAATCCTGTGGGTGGCACATATTTCCATTGATCTAGGAACACTTACTCAGTAAAATCAGTTAAAGGTGTTCCCTCCCCTCTCCCACATCAAGAATTGCTACTTCCTGGCTGGGGAGGGTTGGGGGAGGGGGGATAAGAGATCAATCAAAGGACTTATATGCATGCATATAAGCATAACCAATGGACACAAGACACTGGGGGGGGGCGGGGTAAGGGCATGTGCCGGGGGAAGGTCAATGGGGAAAAAAAGGAGACATATGTACTACTATTTGTAATACTTTAAACAAGAAAATAAAATTTTTTTTTTTTTTCCTTTTTTTGCTTTTTTTATTGATTAAGTTATTTTTTTTTTTATTGCTTAAAGTATTACAAAGGGTATTACATATGTGTCCATTTTATCCCCCCGCCCTAGACAGTCCCCTAGCCTCCCCTATCCCCCAATGTCTTATGTCCACTGGTTATGCTTCTATGCATGCATACAAGTCCTTTAGTTGATCTCTTACCCCCCTACCTCCTGCCCCGCAACCCTCCCCGGCCTTCCTGCTGCAGTTTGACAATCTGTTTGAGGCAGCTCTGCCTCTGTATCTATTATTGTTCAAAAGTTTATAATGGTCTCTATTATCCATGAATGAGTGAGATCATGTACCTGTTTCTAGGGATTTTATGAGACAAACTAACATAATTAAGACAAGTGAGGGAAAAAATAATATATGACAGAGACTAGGGTCAACTTTGCTGCCAAAATAGATAAAGAAGGAAGAAATTGTCAGGGGAAACCTCCCCAGGGAATTCACCTAGATGGATGCTACCATGAGATGATGACAGAAAATTAAAGGTAACTGAGAGAAGGGTTAAAACAATCAGGGTACTACTTTGACAGCAATGTCTACTGAATATCTGAACACTCAGCCAATGCAAAACACAGCCTTGCTAAAAAACCTTCAGAGGCTCCTTATCACCTATAACAAGGGTGACATTTGGCCCATGGATTGTTTTTGTTTGACCAGCAAGCTAAGAATGATTTTTTAAATATATTTTTACAAGGTTGTTAAGGGGAGGGAGGGAAATGCAATAGAGACCATGTAGTTTGGAAAGCCTAAAATATTTACCATGTAGCCACTTGGTTTACTAACCCTTGGCCTATAGCAATGGTTCTCAAACTCAAAAGTATATCAAGATGACCTGGGGGAAGCTTGTGTTAAAATGCAGACTCCTGGACCATATCCACCAAATATTTAGATTTAATAGGCCTGGTATAGAATCTGGGAATCCACATTTTAACAACACCCCAGTTGTTCCACAGGCCACACTTTGAAAAACAGTGGTCTTCATGGCTAAGTCCACACTCTTTACCCTGTCTTTTGAGGCCTGCCTCAAAGAGGCCTCACCTCTTCTGTCCAGCCTTCTCTCTCACAAGTTGTGCAGGCTTCTCTACTCAATGATCACCAAACATCTCACTGTGCCCACCTCCCTGATTTGGCATCACTTTTTCTAACTTAGCTTTGTTTTCTCCTCCCCTTTTGCATCTCCAAGTTCTACCTAGAAGTTCAAGTTCCAAGAGTATCAGATTTGCCTTGAACACTCCAGCTCAAGTGTTCTCTCCCCTACTCAACTGTATTGTTTATATTACTGATTTGATATTTAATTATATATTGTCTTATACTGTTAATTTTGTAAGCTGTCTGTCTTCTCATGTAGAAACCTTTAGTTTATCCAAAACAGAGATTAAGTTGTTTACGTCTTTCTGTCCTCAACAATGGCTTGAACAAACAGAACTATGCATATGTTATAGTAGAGGTTCAGTAAAATATTTGTTGAATGAATGAATGATTATGAAATTCAAACTATTAGTATCAGAGTTTAAGAATAGCATCAACTCTGTTGAACCATGTAAGAATTACTGTCACCTGAAACCATTTTTTTCCATTTGCAGTGTTATTTCTACACCATTTAGAGTTTCCTGTTTTAGCCAACTTTTATGGTGTGTTTCATTTCAGTTTATTTCCCCTCTTCAGCACCTCCTTTCCAGTGACCCCTGCCCCACCTCCAAATTCTTACACATTCAGTTTATTTTAAATCTCCCATGATTCTATAACTAGCATTTTGTGGTGGCTTCACTAGTACTCATACCTGTCCTTACTTTCTTTCTTCTACCTACCATTCTTCTTCACACCAAGCCCTATACCCACCACCTAGCTGCCTGTGCGAAGTAGAATTTTCTAACAATTTCTAATGGCATTTTCTGTGAGAAGTAATACAAATAGGTACTAAGTATAAGAAAAGGTGCTCCAGACCCTAATACTCAGAAAAATGCAAATTAGAACAAGACCATTATATTTGCCTAAGATTAAAAAGAATAATAACATCCAGTGCTAGTCAGAGTGTGAAAAATAGAAACTCTCTGACCCCGTTGACAGAAGTGTAAATTGGTATCACCTTTCTGGATGGATAAATAATTGGAATTTTCTGGAAGTATAAATACTTATACTTCAATTTATAAGTTAAAATACTAATTTATTTTATTTTGTTTTGTTTACTTAAAGCTTAGTGCCTGGAGCCTTTAACTGGTTTTAACTGCTTCCCTAGGGCAAAACATAAGGCTTGGGAAACTCAAACATAATTGTGATATACAAATAGAGTTTCTTTTTTTTTAAAGTCACTGTCAACCTCTAATGAAGACTGAATGCATTAAGTAAGCACAGAGACAATTTCTTTATTTGAAGTATAAAAGAGTATAGGGCAAAAATTTGCTAATAATAGTCCTTCCATTTTACAGAGGGATTATCTCACAATATGTGATTCAGGGAGGAAAGGTGTGGAGGTGGGCAGTGTGTTTATCTGAATAAGTAGTGGCCTTTAAGAGTTGCATCTACTATCTCCCAGGCTTCTATTCATTTTCTTATTCTGTTTAAATGGAAAGGGGAGTCTCTTCCAGAAAAATTTCCCATCTATTTCCAAGCTTCTATTAAGGGACAAGGCCAGGGCTACTTTTAGTCTTCTATGTTTTAGCTACAAATATGTACTGTAAGTTACCTAGTACACACTTTGGGAGAACTGCATTTATAACCAAATCTGTATCATAGAGAGGCAGTTTACAATTGGGTTTTCACTTTATAATGCCTAATGTTTATAGTGGTCACATTTTTTAAAAGGATCGCTGCATTGTACTTATTTTGTACTAAATCCTTAATAATTTAACCAGAACCACTGAAACATAACATAAAATTTCCATGATGGTCCCAGTTTCCTCAATTCAGCTCAGTAGATAATGCCTCAAGTCTGGGCTCAAGCCCTTACCCACTATATATATATATATATATATATATATATATCCCCTATCTAATAATAGACAAACATGGTAATTAACCATAACTTCGCTACCCTTTCCATTGGCTAATCAGGGTGATATGCAAATTAACTGCCAACCAAGATGGCGGCCGGCAGCCAGGCAGCTGAAGCGAGCAGGAGGCTTGCTTACTCCAGTGATGGAGGAAGCCAACGTTCCCTGCCTGCCGCTGCCGGCCTCTGAGCTGCAGTCTAAGAAACAATGTTGCAATTATAGAAGCTAAACAAGCTCCAGATCCCTGCTTTCAGCCAGCTTTGGCCTCAGAGCTTAGAGTGTCAGTGATGGCGACAATGTTTCAATTATAGAAGCTAGCTTCAGAGCTAGAGCCAGCTCTCAGCTCCAGTGACAGCTATAGAAGGTAAATAAATCCCAGAATAAAAAAAAAAATTAAAAAAAAAAAAAAAAAACAGAGAAAAAGGAGAGGCTGGGAGCTTCAGTTGCCCACCAGCCTGAAAACGGCCCTCAGCCCCTCACCCAGACTGGCCAGGCACACCAGTGGGGACCCACACCCTGAAGGGTGTGTGACCAGCTGCAAACAGCCATCATCCCCTCATCCCCTCATCCAGGCTGGCCAGGCATCCAAGCGGGAACCCCACCCTGATCTGGGACACCCTTCAGGGCAAACCAGCCAGCCCCCACCCGTGCACCAGGCCTCTATCCTATATAGTAAAAGGGTAATATGAAAACTGACCCTAACAGCAGAATGACTGGGAATGACTGGTCACTATGACACACACTGATCACCAGGGGGCAGACGCTCAATGCAGGAGCTGCCCTCTGGTGGTCAGGGCGCTCTCACATGGGAGGAGCTCTGCTCAGCCACAAGCCAGGCTGATGGCTGCCAGTACAGCGGTGGTGGTGGGAGCCTCTCCTGCCTCCTCAGCAGCACTAAGGATGTCTGACTGCAATTTAGGCCTGCTCCCTGCTGGCAAGTGGACATTCCCCAAGGGCTGCCAGGCTGCCAGAGGGATGTCTGATTGCCATCTTAGGCCCAATCCCCTGGGGAGTGGGCCTAAGCCAGCAGGTGGTCATCCCCCAAGGGGTCCCAGACTGTGAGAGGGCACAGGCTGGGCTGAGGGACCCCCCCTCCCCCCGCCCTGAGTGCAAAAATTTTTGTGCACCGGGCCTCTAGTATATATATATGTATAATAGATCTCAGGGAGGAAAGGAGAGGGAGATAGAAATAGAAACATGAACGATGAGAGGGACTCATTGATTGGCTGCCTCCTGCATGCCTCCCCCCCGACTGGGGATCAAGCCCACAATCCAGGCATGTGTCCTTGACTGGATTCGAACCTGGGACCTTTCAGTCTGCAAGCCGACTCTCTATCCACTGAGCCATACCAGCTAGGGCCCTCCCACTTTTTGAACAGGTTGTACAAAAGAGTCTGGACATCCCATTGCTTGGAAAAGGGAAGTCCAATTATAATTTACCATGAATTTGAAAATGAACCTCCTCTAGTAATGGCAGAGATCAAATACCAGAGGGTTTGTCATGTTATTCCTTGGCTTGTTAGCTTTATTATTGTTATCTTCTCATCTCTCTTCCTTCCCACAGCTGCTTTCTAGAGTTTCAGTTGTTGAAAACAAGAGTTGCATATTTGAAGTGATTCTTCTGTTTCTTTCTCTGGTAGGTGTGGAAGATGCCTTCAGTTTCACCTCCAAAGTCATGACAGTGTCCCTGCACAAATTCTCCCCAGGATTTTTCCCAGGCAAGTGACCTTTGTGCTCAGTATTACATTTGGGGAATAATATACTACAGTTCTTTTATACATTTCTTATATCTTATATTTGGATATTTCAATGCTATTAATACCTTATTGGTACAGCTTTATGCAAAAATTTAAAACAAGTCATTTCAGGTGATAATGATAAGAGGAATGTGATGCTGTTTCTTTTCAGGCTGACTTTTATGGACTGCCAATAGATAGCTCACTTATACTTAATGTACTATCAGATACTCTGTGTAACTCCCAACACCCTGATAATTACAGTGCTATATTAATATTATGTCACTCTTAGACATATGGAAAGTGAAGTACAGGAGTTAATCTTTTTTTCCCCAGCCAGAATGAATCTAAGGTTTTCCCATTTTCTTTTTTTTTAATTTTGTTTTATTGCTTAAAGTATTACAAAGAGTATTACATACGTCTCCTTTTCTTCCCCCCTTGACCTTCCACCAGCCTCCTCTACCCCCCAGTGTCTTGTGTCCATTGGTTATGCTTATATGCATGCATAGAAGTCCTTCGGTTGATCTCTTACCTCACCCCAACCCTCCCCTGCCTTCCCACTATAGTTTGACAGTCTAGTCGATGCTGCTCTGCCTCTGTATCTATTTTTGTTAATCCTATCTAATAATAGACAAACATGGTAATTGACCATACCTTCGCTATGCCTCCCAATATCTAATCAGCGAGATATGCAAATTAACTGCCAACAAAGATGGCGGTCAATTTGCATACGTAGGCACGAAGCTGCGGAGCGAAGGCTTGAGGCAGCTCTGGCCAGAGCAGTGAAGGCTTGAAGGTGGCTCTGGCCGGAGCAAAGGCCTGGGTCCTGGGTGCCGGAGGAAAACTGGTGTGGGCAGCCAGGGGAATCTTTTCATGCAACAGGCCTCTAGTCAGTTTATAATGGTCTTTATTATCCATAAATGAGTGAGATCATGTGGTATTTTTCTTTCATTGACTGGCTTATTTCACTTAGCATAATGCTCTCCAGTTCCATCCGTACTGTTGCAAATGGTAAGAATTCCTTCTTTTTCACAGCAGCATAGTATTCCACTGTGTAGATATACCACAGTGTTTTTTTTTATTTATTGCTTAAAGTATTACAAAGGGTATTACATATGTGTCCATTTTATCCCCCCGCCCTAGACAGTCCCCTAGCCTCCCCTATCCCCCAGTGTCTTATATCCATTGGTTATGCTTATATGCATGCATACAAGTCCTTTAGTTGATCTCTTACCCCCCTACATCCTGCCCCCCAACCCTCCCTGGCCTTCCCGCTGCAGTTTGACAATCTGTTTGAGGCAGCTCTGCCTCTGTATCTATTATTGTTCAAAAGTTTATAATGGTCTCTATTATCCATGAATGAGAGAGATCATGTGGTATTTTTCCTTCATTGACTGGCTTATTTCACTTAGCATAATGCTCTCCAGTTCCATCCATGACGTTGCAAATGGTAAGAGTTCCTTCCTTTTTAGAGCAGCATAGTATTCCATCGTGTAGATGTACCACAGTTTTCTAATCCATTCATCTACTGATGGGCACTTAGGCTGTTTCCAGATCTTAGGTATGGTGAATTGTGCTGCTATGAACATAGGGGTGCATATATCCTTTCTGATTGGTGTTTCTAGTGTCTTGGGATATATTCCTAGAAGTGGGATCACTGGGTCAAATGGGAGTTCCGTTTTTAACTTTTTGGGGAAACTCCATACTGTCTTCCATAGTGGCTGCACCAGTCTGCATTCCCACCAGCAGTGCACGAGGGTTCCTTTTTCTCCGCATCTTCTCCAGCACTTGTCGTTTGTTGATTGTTAAAAAATACTATGAACAACTCTACTCCAACAAACTAGACAACCTGGAGGAAATGGACATATTCCTAGAAAAATACAACCTTCCAAAACTCAATTAGGAAGAATCTAAAAATCTCAACAGGCCAATAACTATGGAAGAAATTGAAGCAGTAATTAAAAAGCTTTGATCAAACAAAGCCCAGGCCAGACGGCTTCACAGGGGAGTTTTACCAAACATTCAAGGAAGAACTAAAACCTATCCTCCTCATACACTTCCCATTTTCTTATAATTTTTCTGCTTCCCCAACATTATTTTCAACAGTCACTTCTCCATATCATTTTAATTCATTCTTTTACAAAAACCATCACAGGATAGTGCTCTATTTCACCTTCTGGTTTTCTGAATTCCTATCAGAGAATCCTTCAACTTTTCTAATTCTCATGTTCTTAAAACTACTCATGGTGCCCATCTCTTTTACAGGAACAGGTGATGTGACTGATGTTGGCCTAGGGAAGGGACGGTACTACAGTGTGAATGTGCCCATTCAAGATGGCATACAGGATGAGAAATATTACCACATCTATGAAAGGTATGGCAGTAATGCTGAGCCAGTAACAACTGTATTACATTTCTGTAAGATGAAATGGCCCCAATCTTACAGAATTTTTGTTTTCAAAAAACATTTTGTGGGGGAAAAGGTACTGTAAACTTATGTAGCTTTTGTACACTGTTCATTATTCTTAATGGATCAAGTAGCCATCTCCTGTTTGGGAGAGCCGAGTGTTTAGGCAAGAAGCACATTCTTGGTTTGATTTTACTAGCTACCCCATATGACTAAGACCATCCCAAAACCAGAGCTTCTAGGCTGCCTTTGAAGTCCCTTGTCTATTACTTTCTAAGCTAAAACCTGCATGTATGTAATCTCATTAGCCTGGAAGGTCCTTTTGGGTTTGCTGTTATGTAGATCTGCTTCCATCCATTCGTGCAGTGGTCGGCAAACTGTGGCTCGTGAGCCACATGCGGCTCTTTGGCCCCTTGAGTGTGGCTCTTCCACAAAATACCATGAGCGGGCGCGCACGTACAGTGAGATTGAAACTTCGTAGCCCTTGCGCAGAAGTCAGTAGTTTGTGGAAGAGCCACACTCAAGGGGCCAAAGAGCCGCATGTGACTTGTGAGCCGAAGTTTGCCAACCACTGCACTAGTGTGACTATTAGAGAGTTTTTTATTATGAGTTCTTGAGTTCTATTTGCTCTGTTAAAATTGGGGTCAGAAATCTGTGCTTTTACATTATGGTTATTATGTTAAATTATAGCCACTTGTAGGCAGTTTGTTGCCAATGTGTAGACCATTGGGGCTGAAAAGCCTTACAGAATGCGGGGAGGGTGGCAGGCACTCTATTCGTATTCATAAAAATGGAGGTTGGCCCTAGCCGGTGGGGCTCAGTTGGTTGGAGCATTGTCTTGTGCACCAGAAGGTCACAGGTTCGATTCATGGTCAGGGTACATACATATGCCAGGGCATGATGGGAGGCCACCGGTCTATGTATCTCTCTCCCTCCCTCCCTCTTTAAAATCAATATTTTAAAATTTGAGGTTGGTCCGGTATAAATTCATTGCTGACATTGGCAGTAGAGAAAGTGAGTCCAACTAAAAGTCAGCAAGTCAACGTTACTCAAGGTAAGTAATGAGGATTGAAGTGCTTTTGATCCTTACCCCCACTGGGCTTAGATTTCTCCCAACCTCTGCTAGAAACAGGGACTTCCCTGTTTCTGGTCATCGTCACTCACTGGTCATCATCACTCACTGACAGTTGTATAAATAAAGTAGAAGTATTAAAAAATAAAAAATAAGAACCAAGATGGCGGCATAGGTTAACGCCGGAGTTTGCTGCCTTGAACAACTACTTCAAAAGTGAAACTAAAAAATGGAATGGACATCACCCAGAACCACAGGAACACTGGCTGAGTGGAAGTCCTACAACTAGGAGGAAAGAGAAACGCATACGGACACTCAGAGGAGGCGCAGTGCTGAAGTCAAATTCTGAGGTGCGGAGTGCGCGGAGCGGGCTGGCGGCGGAGGGCGCGGTTGGCGTTTTCAATCGGGAGGGAGTCGCAGAATCTGAGCTCCAGATACAGGCGAGTCTTTACGGACCCAGACTCAAACGGGAGAAGCGGGACTGTCTGGCTTCGGTCAGAGCGAGTGCAGCTTTCTCTCCGACGTTTGCAGCGGTTGCTGGGACTCAGAGAGGCAGAGCCCCTGGGGACAGGACTGAGAGCCGCCATAACTGCTCTCTCTGGCCCACCCTGTTGATCCTGTGTGACCCGCCCCGCCCAAGCCCTGCACAGAGGCATTTGCCGGATAGCCTCAGGCAAACGCCAGATTAGCACCTCCCTAGAGGACAGAAGTTCTCTCACTGCAGACACAGCTGATTCTCATAGCCACTTGGCCTGGAGGTCAAACCCTCCCTGGTATTAACTACAACAATCAAGGTTTAACTATAAGACTTCGCACAAAGACCACTAGGGGGTGCACCAAGGAAGCATAACAAAATGCGGAGACAAAGAAACAGGACAAAATTGTCAATGGAAGATATAGAGTTCAGAGCCACACTTTTAAGGTCTCTCAAGAACTGTTTAGAAGCCGCCGATAAACTTAATGAGATCTACAAGAAAACTAATGAGACCCTCGATGTTATATTGGGGAACCAACTAGAAATTAAGCATACACGGACTGAAATAACGAATATTATACAGACTCCCGACAGCAGACCAGAGGAGCGCAAGAATCAAGTCAATGATTTGAAATGCGAAGAAGCAAAAAACACCCAACCGGAAAAGCAAAATGAAAAAAGAATCCAAAAATGCGAGGATAGTGTAAGGAGCCTCTGGGACAGCTTCAAGCGTACCAACATCAGAATTATAGGGGTGCCAGAAGATGAGAGAGAGCAAGATATTGAAAACCTATTTGAAGAAATAATGACAGAAAACTTCCCCCACCTGGTGAAAGAAATGGACTTACAGGTCCAAGAAGCGTGGAGAACCCCAAACAAAAGAAATCCAAAGAGGACCACACCAAGACACATCATAATTAAAATGCCAAGAGCAAAAGATAAAGAGAGAATCTTAAAAACAGCAAGAGAAAGAAACTCAGTTACCTACAAGGGAATACCCATACGACTGTCAGCTGATTTCTCAACAGAAACTTTGCAGGCCAGAAGGGAGTGGCAAGAAATATTCAAAGTGATGAATACCAAGAACCTACAACCAAGATTACTTTACCCAGCAAAGCTATCATTCAGAATTGAAGGTCAGATAAAGAGCTTCACAGATAAGGAAAAGCTAAAGGAGTTCATCACCACCAAACCAGGATTATATGAAATGCTGAAAGGTATCCTTTAAGAAGAGGAAGAGGAAGAAAAAGGTAAAGATACAAATTATGAACAACAAATATGCATCTATCAACAAGTGAATCTAAGAATCAAGTGAATAAATAATCTGATGAACAGAATGAACTGGTGATTATAATAGAATCAGGGACATAGAAAGGGAATGGACTGACTATTCTTGGGGGGGAAAGGGGTGTGGGAGATGCGGGAAGAGACTGGACAAAAATCGTGCACCTATGGATGAGGACAGTGGGTGGGGAGTGAGGGCGGAGGGTGGGGTGGGAACTGGGAGGAGGGGAGTTATGGGGGGAAAAAAAGAGGAACAAATGTAATAATCTGAACAATAAAGATTTAATTAAAAAAATAAATAAATAAAATAAAAAATATCTCTCAGATGATTAGTGACTTTGAGCATGTTTTCATATGTCTCTTGCCTTTCTGAATGTCCTCTTTCGAAAAGTATCTATTTAGGTCCATTGCCCTTTTTTGATTGGGTTGTTTATCTTTCTTTTCTTAAGTTGTATGAGTTCCCTGTAAATGTTGGAGATTAAACCCTTATCGTTGATAACATGGGCAAATATGTTCTCCCATGCAGTGGGCATTCTTTTGTTTTGTTGATGGTTTCTTTGCAAATCAAAATGACAATGTGGTACCATCTAACATCTGTCGGAATAGCTATCATCAACAAAGGACAAGTGCTGGCGAGGATGCAGAGAAAAAGGAGCCCTCTTGCACTGCTGGTGGGAATGCAGACTGCTGCAGCCACTGTGGAGAACAGTATGGAGTTTCCTTAAAAAACTAAAAATGGAACTCCCATTTGACCTAGTGATCCCAGTTCTAGGAATATATCCCAAGAAACTAGAAACACCAATCAGAAAGGATATATGCACCCCTATGTTCATAGCAGCACAATTTACCATAGCTAAGATTTGGAAACAGCCTAAGTGCCCATCAGCAGATGAGTGGATTAAAAAACTGTGGTACATCTATACAATGGAATACTACACTGCAGTAAAAAAGAAGGAATTCTTACCATTTGCAACTGTATGAATGGAACTGGAGAGCATTGTGCTAAGCGAAATAAGCCCGTCAGAGAAAGATAAATACCACATGATCTCACTCATTTGTGGAATATAATGAACAACATAAACTGATGAACAAAAACAGATCCAGCCCTAGCTGGTTTGGCTCAGTGGATAGAGTGTCGACCTGCGGGTTGAAGGGTCCCAAGTTCGATTCCAGTCAAGGGCATGTACCTTGGTTGTGGGCACATCCCCAGTAGGGGGTGTGCAGGAGGCAGCTGATTGATGTGTCTCTCTCTTTGATGTTTCTAACTCTCTATCCCTCTCCCTTCCTCTCTGTAAAGAATCAATAGAATATATTTAAAAAACCAAACAAACAAACAAAAACCCCCCCAGATTCAGAGATAGAGAAGCATCGATCAAACTTTCAAATCTCAGAGGGAAAGTAGGGGAGGGTGGAGGTAAGGGGGGAGAGATCAATTAAAGGACTTATATGCAAGCATATAGGCCTAACCAATGGACACAGACAACAGGGGGGTGAGGGCATGAGTGGGGGGATAAGGACACATATGTAATACCTTAATCAATAAAGGAAAAAAATTAAGTAATAAATAAAATAAAAAACATCTGTAATGCTTTGAACAATAAAGATAAATAAAAAAAGAAATAAAAAACTTTATGTCAAAGGTGTCTCTTAGCTGAAGACACTTGTCAGGCCAAGTCATCATGCAGCAGCTCTAGCCTCTTTAGGATTTTGATCATGTCCCCTGGCTACCTCTATATTGTTGGACTGAAAGAGTCTTTTTTTTTTTTTGAGCCTGACATTGATGGCTTTAATTGCCCTTCTTTGTTCACCTTAGGCTCTGTTCTGTCCGTGACATGTGCAGATCAGAGCTGCTTGTGTAACTTCACCCATGAAGATGTCCTGTGGTTCTGTGTAAAAGGAGGATTATTGTGTTTTTCTCTTAATCCATTTGACAGTGCCCAACATTTTGTTACCCTTTTTAAAAAATATATATATTTTATTGATTTTTTTAGAGAGAGGAAGGGAGAGAGATAGAGAGTTAGAAACATCGATGAGAGAGAAACATCGATCAGCTGCCTCCTGCACACCTCCTTCTGGGGATGTGCCCACCACCCAGGTACATGCCTTTGACCGGAATCGAACCTGGGACCCTTCAGT